CAGTCTGGAATAGATTGCTGAACTCATATGATAATAAAAAGTGCACAGACGATATTTTCTTACTTTTAAGATGTTCCTTTTTTTTTAGGGTTTACCTGGATCAGCCTGTTGTCTCCATGGAGGATGATGGGATTTCTCCTATTTTTCATATACTATTTGAATATATATACTTTTCAAATTTCTTTATCCCCTTTTGGACAAATTTTTTATTTTTGATTGAGTTTTATCTCACGTACGAATTACTGTTTGTTTTCTGCTTTTCTTAAGGAAAAATTTTCTTGCATATTCATCGGATTCAAATTTTTTTGGATGATTGCATGTTGAAGACGCTGGGTGTATCAAACTCTAAGACCCTTATATGTCTTTTTCATATAAGTTTATCGTGTGCTTAATATGCATTTCCTTACGTGCTAGCTACTGTTATATGCTTCCGTATGATAGGCGGGCGAAGGGAGCGAGATCAAGCTGAGCCACTAGTGGAGTGGCAAAGGAGGCCTACTATACCGTTAAAAAAAAAAGTCAAAAGAATTTCAGTAAACTATTGAAGCTATCAGTGTGATTGATCAGACAAGTACCAAGGGCTTTCGGTAGACTTCTTTCATTTCTGAATTAGCTTGCGACAAGTCCTAGCATTAGTATGATTTCGTTGACTGCATAAGGGCTATCCATCTTGATGACAAATTCCACAATAACAAGAAATAGAAATTAATCGTTCGATGTCTGCTCATTCTCCCCTCTTCAATTCCCAATGAACAACATGATCTTGACCTATCATTTGTTCAATTTGGTCAATCTGATACTTAGTTCCGTGTGTGTTCGTATGCTTTCATGACTGCACTTTTAAGTAATAACTATATAGTTGGAGTTATCTCTGCAAGCCTTTTGCTACTTTGGTATTGTTGCAATCCGGCTACATAGAGGTAAGTTCTACTCGGGCCAATAAAGAAATCCAGTGATTGACCTCCCAGTCACTGATATTTTAAATGACATCATATTTATTTAATTCTCTAGAGTTAGGTTGCCTAATCTCTCAGATAATTGGTTTAGCCCAAGGAAAGAGATGAGTTGATTAGGGAAGGATGGGTGTTTATCTTAGGAGCTTGTTCATTGTAACCTTTATCTTCTACCTAATCTTTGGAACCTTAAGCAAGATAAATCTTGGGTGTATGTCTGATACTAGAGCCATCAATAAGATCATCATCAAGGATATGTTTTCAAACCTAAACTTGAGGGCATGATCAGTGTGCTATCAGGCTTTATTTGGTATCCTGATATAGGTATTCATAGTGAATACCGTTAGATGAAGGTTAGACTAGGGGAGAAATGGGGAATTTCCTCTAGGGCCCAAGATGGCTTATTTGAGTGGTTAGTCTTGTTATTTGGACTTTTCCAATTCTCCTAGTTTTCTCATGAGGGCAATGACCCACCTCTTGGGACATTCCATTTTTAACTTCCTTGTACATCTTAGATTTTCTAGTCCTAGCACTTTCAGAACTGACCCGCTTCTTACATCATTTCACTGGAAAGTTTCTTCTGGTCTCATTTTAAGATAGGCGTAAAGCTTGGTCTCCCTAAGAGGCTGTTAATTGCCCTTGTGGAACTTCTAAGGATGAGCATTTTCATAAATTGTAACATAAATTTATGACAAGCCTCTAAGAATTACAAAAAGCTATGCAAATTGCATAAATTCTTTTATTTCAAATTGTTAGATGCCGTGCTGAAATTGCAATCTTAAAAAATCATCTATATTTATTCAATTGATATAAAAAAAAAGTTAACAGTTTTAAATTTGTACAAAAGAGACAGATCATTAAGAAATTAAAAGAAAAGAACATATTGTTCTGGTATAGTTCTATTCCTTATTGAAATTTAGTTAAAAGAGTTATATTTTAGAAAATGTAAGGCAGATTTTTAAAAACTCTTGGCAGTGTTCATTGTAGCTAACCTAAAAAGATAGGGTTTGGGGAATTGCATGAACCTAGGACTATTGGCAGTGATATATAGTTCCATGGTTCGCTTATTCTTTTCTTAGGAGATTTAGTTCTATTGTGGCTCCTATTACTGATTTGGGATTAGGAGAACTTAAATGGTCCACTTCAGCTGTTAAGTCATTCAAGAGACCAGTCACAGTATATCTAAAGCTCCTCCTTTTAGGCATCTTGCTTTTGATACATTATTTGAAGTTGCTGGGGATATCTTAAGAGTTGTTTTAGGCGTGTTGAGTCAAAAGAGACTATTTTTCCTTCAGTGAGAATGTTGCATGCTGAACAGGAGTATTCTACCTATGATAAAGAATTTTAAATGAGTGCTATCCCTTTGCCATTGAAATAACCTCCTTCTTATGGAGTTTCTGATTTATCCTGATCACTCAGCGTGAGTCACAAGTCTTCCTGAAGAAAGTTGAATAATAGGCAAGTGGTTGAACTATTTAATGAGAAAGACTTTTTGGGTCTTAGCTTGAAGGGTTTTCCTAGATGCATTTTTGGGTCAAAACAGAATAGTTGTGATCTTATTTCTGGGTTTGCTTCCAAAAACTTTGGGCCATGATACACCGAGAAAAGCCTTTCGACCATTATTTATGAATATTCACTACAAAGCACCTGTTGGTTTGATATCTCTTCCTCATGATGCCTGTCTTTCTTAGCCAATTGAGTCCTTCACTCGAAGTATTCGTGATTTGCATACTAGAAAATAGAAGACCACATGACATTCTCCTCAAGAGACCTTGATCTTGGAATCTTGATCATGTTAAAATTTCTTAAATTTCCATCCTCGTTTGGGCTTTCCTACACTGGCTATTGTTATGCTGTGGAAAAGTTTTGGACATGTAAAAATGGATCATAGATATGTATTTGATCCTGGCAAACTAAGATCATGCAGTTAATCTACTGTTTCTTACTTCTTTCCATATGTGCTTAACGGATGCAGAATAGATGCTGAAGCTTCTGATCTAAAGAAAAAATTGGATGGAATGACTGCTTTCCACAAACCTCCAAATGAGGATCAAGACAAAGCATCTGAAGAAACGAGTATAGCAACTATAGAGGTGACATTATGACACGTTTTTGTAGTGCCTTTATTGATTTAGTGTTTTCCTTTTTCCTTTATATTGAGAATATTAATCAATGTTGAAGAGAAAAATTCATGGCATGGCTTGTGCATGTGTTGTTATTGCTTCTAAAAAAAGTATCAAATTCCTTTTTGACTCTGGTTTCTTTTGTAGTAATTCCTTTTACCCCTTGGTTGAATCTTAATATTTATACAAGCTGTCTTCTAAATTACCATTGGGAACAAATTCTTGGAGCTGCTGCTGATCTTTAGGTAGCGTCATGGGAATTTGATTCCTGCAGATTACTGAGTATATTGAACAAATTCTTGGAGCAATTTGACTTAGGCTCCAATTTGCTTTTCCCTTCTTTTTTCTGTCTGTTTGACCAAAATGTACATTTACTTACTAGCATCAAATCACCATATTTTAGGGAGTCATTAGTTTCCTTCTCCTGATGATTGGGGTTTGTTGGAATTGTTTGGTTTTTCTGGCTCCATGGGCTGGTCTGGTGGTTGTTCATTGTGGTTGGACCATTATGGTTTCCATGCGAGATAGGAATTTCTGGACATAGTTCCTCCTTATGGTCAATTCATCCACATATGAAACAAATAGTTCAGAGCCCTTCATATTCAACTTTTAAAAGAGTTTCGTCACGTTGATTTTTGAAAGTGGAGGGTTCTGTTAAGTTAACTTCGACATAGAACCCTGCAAACTTGCCATATAAACCCTCAAATGTTGTTACATGAACTTGAATCGGCTTTCTGATCGTCTTTGCAGTTGCAAGGAGTATATCCTCGTTACAATGCTCAATTCGAAGTAAAGAAATATGAGCCCAAAAAACCTCCAAGGAAATAATAGACAGATTCTGGTTGGGTGTTGGACTTCCATCATGGGACATGCAGGTGATGTGCAAAGGCCATTCAAGACCTCCAATGAGAACTTTCTTGACATCTTCCGTATAGTTGAACTTGGAATACTAAAGTTGCATCCGACTCTAATGGAATCGGGTTCTCCTGGACTTGATTCTTCTTTGAAAGAATTCTCCTTGAATTGAGTTGCCAACAGACTTTTAAGTCTAACCACCGGAACAGTGCAGGACATATCTTGCCCAGCCATCTTTGCTATCAAGGTCTTCTGTCTCCAAATCTGTTTTACCGTTAATAGATATCCCCATCAATCTATGCTTTTGGAATATCATCATCTGCATGGTCCATGTCAACATCCAATGCTCCATCCTCCATGTCAACATCGGCATAATCTACTTCTTTGAATTATTTGTACTCTCTCGGACTAGAGATTCCCTTAGGGTGCTAAGATGTTCTCCACCACTCAAAGAATTCTCAGTTGTTCCATCATGAGAAACTGGAACAACCAAGAGTTGAGTGTTTTGTTCCTCTGCAGATTGAATTGGATAGTTCGGATTACTTATTGTTAAAGTATCTTTCTTTTCTTTGTACTTCATCTTTGGAGACCTTCTTCCTCACGATAGACGTCTCTCTTGTTCTCGTTAATTGCCATTGTGGCTCTGCTGAGGTTTTTAACTGTGGGAATCCAGAATGTTTGTAAAGGCTATTTGCTGCTGGCCATGTTTGTATTTTGAGGGCCATATGTAGAATTTAAATTTTGAACTGGTTCTTTCTGTTAGGAGTCGGAAACTATATTCTGACAACTTTTTCTCTTCTCTCCTCTTTTAAATTCTAGACTCTTAAAGAAGCACTTGCACAAATTCGAGTATGTTCAAGATTGGAAGGTCTTTTACTGAAAAAAAAACTTCTGAGCAATGGAGAATCGCCAGAGGTTCATGCTCAAAAGGTAAGCACCTCTCTCATTCTTGGTTGTTGCTTGATTTTTTTGGCGAAAATGTCATTGGACATCTTAATTTATGCAATGACTTAATAATATCCATTGGCATCTTGCAGTTAATTTCACTTAGATGTTGGCCTAAGTGTGTAAAATCTTTGATGTCAGCCTATGCTATTCAACTTATTAATTTGTGATTAGGAGTAGAAACTTGTTGACTTCTTTAGGTTGTTGTGTGCAGATTGATAAATTGAAGGTCTTATCAGAATCTCTTGCTAACTCCAGTATGAAAGCTGAGAAGCGCATTTCGGAGCACAGGTGTGGTCGTAGGTTTGAGAACAATTTATCTGCTTGAATTTGACAAAGTATTACTAGGAGATAGGATCTCATGCTGGAGTACACAGGCTGTTTTAATTGTCCATTTGAAACTAGTCTCTTCAAAACCCTAACCACAGAAAATCTGAGACAACATATTAAGGAATCCGAACCTCCTTATCAATCATTTTCTGAATTTCTGCGAAAAATTCAATTTCAAAGGATGAGTATTATTGGTAGATGCAGTCGTCATAAGCTAAAAGGTTTTGACGGTAGACATCTCAATGATATTCAAAGATATAGATATTGGAGTCTTACCCTCTTTTAAGAGGCCTTCTTACTTTCTCCCTTTGTACTTACCTTTTCACTATCTATATATTTTTTTTTGCTTTTCCTTAAAAAGAATTATTAGCATGTTCTCTACTTTGTTATTACCTTTAGAATAGCTCTAGGTTTTCAATTTAGACGTTTTTGTTTAGTTCAACTATCATTGGCAGATTGCAAAAAGAGGAGGCACTAAAAGTTCGTGTGTCAAAAGCAAGTGAAGCTGGTGAAAAGGAGAAGGTATTTTTTCGCTTGGACTGGTTTGTCTGCTTAGTGGCAATGCTAACTTTAAGAAGACAAAGAAAAACTATTGAAATGTTGCAATTTTAATGTCAAATCCCGGATATTACTGAAGTATGGTAGGTGCACCATTGAAGACATCAATTGGTTCTAAACAGCATTGCTGAATGGTTATCTGGATGCTTTTTTGGAAAAAGTTATTTTCTCTACTCTAATGCATATCATCTTACAGTAATGGTCGGGCATTTGTGTATTTGATAGGAAGTCTTGCCATTTTTAGCAAATTATTCTAACAGTTTTTCGTAGTATTACTTTTTCTATAATTTGCCTGTCAAGAAACCCCACTCATGATTCATCCTTAATACTATCACATCATCTTGTCTATAGCAATGTCTTAATGTTACCATGTTGTACGTATGTTAAAATGCATGCAGTATTCTGAGGTTTCAATGAAATAATGGTAAAAAAAGGCCCTTTTTAGATGAGATTAAAAAAATTAAGAGACACCATGCATCTACTCTCATGTAACATTGCTGGTTGTTGCTTGTGTGCTTCCAAGACAAATTTGACTTTTTTGCTTCATTTCCAGGAGTTAGCAGCTGAGATTGAACAATTGGAAAAACACAGACTTGATCTTGAAGCTGAATTGAAAAAGGTTTAGCTGCTTTATCTTCTATTTGTTTTTTCTTTTGTTCTTTTTGGATTCTTCATTGCTTAGCTGAATTGAAAAAGGTTTAGCTGCTTCATCTAAGGTTTTAAAATAATTGAGTTTGGTTACCAATTACCCCAGAAGTTTGCAGCTTATAGAAATGATTAAGCTTCATTGTTTATAACTCATAGACTCTTTTACACACAAGCTTACTGGCTAGAAGTGCAGACAGAGTACAAACTAAGTATACATTGTGCTAAAATTGAATTTTTAAAATGAATGAGTTCATATGGATTTGAACTCTTTGAGTTTCAGGTTTGGCTAAAATTTAATTTTTAAAAGAAATGGGTTCCTCTGGATTTGAACTCTTGAGTTTCAGGTTTAATAGCATGGGAAATAATTGAGTTGTGTTACCAATTATATTGTTTATGTTCTATCAGTCATTTTATCTGTCTTTTTTTTAGATTTGATGAAAACACGTACCAAGATGTATTTAATGAATTTAATGGGAACAAAAGTAAAGTCATGGTAACTTGATTTAGGATGAAGTCAACTTTGAGTGCCCATTATAGTAGCCTGGGATGCAATATGTCAAGATTTGGCCCAATTGATGGCCATGGCATTACATTCTTCTATCAAAACCTTCTACCTGCGAGTTTAATTTAGAAAAACTGAGTGTGCCACATATGATAGGATCTTGTCCGAATAGCATTTTAGACTGACAATTTCTTTTGATGAAGAACTGGGCTATGTCTTCTTACAAGCTCAGTTTTTTTCCTATACTTGTGATGATTTTTTATTACTCTTATTAAATAGAGAACTTGTGATGATTTAATTCTCTGTATTGATGGCAAACAATTTAAGCAGTGACCTACACGGTTCAGGTTAATATATCCTTGGCTGCTGCTCATGCACGGCTTCGAAATGCCAGGGAGGAGAGAGATCAATTTGATGAAGCTAACAATCAGATCATTGCACACTTGAAAACAAAGGTTTGAATTTTCTTGGCTGATTTCATGAGGGTTAATGAGCTGTTATGTTTAGAAACTATTCATACTCTATATTTTCTGGCCCCTTTGATCAAAATTTTGATTTTACTTTCAATTTTTAATAGGAAGACTAGCTTCCAAAACCCATTAAATCATGAATTTTCTTGCTGATTTCATGAGGGTTAATGAGCTGTTAAGTATAGAAACTATTTTGTAGCGTATATTTTCAGGCCCCTTTTATCAAACATCTGATTTTCCTTTCAATTTTTAATAGGAAGACGAGCTTTCAAAATCCGTAAAATCATGTAGGGTAGAAGCAGATGTTCTGAGTACATGGATCAACTTCCTGGGAAGATACTTGGCTTCTTCAATGCTCCTATAGAGAAACTAAGGATAAGCAAGTCAAGTATGCACTCCAACTTCTCTCAAAATTAACCTGGAATTATTACTCATAATTGACCAAATTGTTTCTTCATGGTTGCATTTGAAGTGATGATTTGGAGAAACATGAAGAGTATTTTTTGAACTTGGCTATTAGTCTTCTCTCTGCTTACAAGGTATAGATCACAAAAAATACCATGTTTTCATATATAATTGGAACCTTCATTTTACGTGTTAGGTAATATTATTGTTTTGTGCAGAAAGCATTGGGGCCTTCAATCAGCCGCATTGGGAAGTTTGTGGAGAACCTGAAGAATTTGAGTGCTGGGTAACATTGTGTTTCATTGAAATGGCTTTGACCTATTGGATGCATATTTTAAATTTTTTTTACACCTGTTGAGACAGGTCAGAGGTAGGATCAAATGCAGACATTAAGGAGACTGAAGTACTAAACCCAAGAAAAAATCTTGAGGAGGAATATCTAGATTATGAAACCAAGGTACAATTCACTTTTGAATAGACTTTATAGTGTGGTTGCCAACGATTTTTTTATTTTTATGCATCCTGTATATGCTGCTGCGCCTGTCGGTATCTCCCCATCATCCACCCTCCCCCCTCAATTTTAAGAAGATTCAACTAATTCATGCATTGTTTATTATGCCTGGTGTTTTTCCTGCCAAATATAATTTTTATCACTAACATTGACTTTGTTCCACTTGTGTATTTGGTTTGATTATTTCAGATTATAACAACCTTCAGTGTTGTGGATAACATGAAGGAGCAATTTTATGTGCAAGATGGCACAAATTCGTGGTAAGTTGTTCTGTATTCTGCACATTCATCTATTTTCCCGCACATTATCATTTTCTTCTTTCAGTCATCGAATCTGGCTGCTTGAAAAGGGCTAATTCAATATCCTTTCTTTCTTTTTCTCTGATCTAGGAAGGATGATCCTCGTGTTAAAGAGCTCTTTGATGATATTGAAAAATTGAGACAGGAGTTTGAGTCTATTGAAAGACCAAATTTAGAAATGGAGACTCTAACACCTAAAGCTGACACTCCCGCAAATGAAAAGTCAACAGGAAGCCCCACCAATCACTTAAACCCCGAGACAACTGAAAAACCTGTTACAAGAGAGCATCATGAGGGTCCTGGAGCCGGGGCAGAACAAATTCTAGATGCTGAAGCAGAACTAGCAAAGTTGGAATCAGAGTTCGGGAAGGTTGGCCCAGACTATCCGGCAGATGAAATTGGAGACTGGGAATTTGATGAACTAGAAAGGGAGCTGAGATCTGGTGATTCAGCAAACAGCAAGTAGAAAGTGAGAGATTGGTTTAATATGCAAAGCCAAATGAACAGGTAAGCATATGTACAAGAATGATACAATCCTCCTAATCACCTAAAGAGCTGCATTTTAGATCGATGGCTTTTCACTGTAACTCTTTGAGTGTTAAATGGTGTTTTATTTGTTAATTGTTCTGTAAATTATGAAACTGTATCGTATATGATAAACTGATATAACAAATAAATGAAAGGCTAAATATATTTTGTCCTCGTAATTTCTGAAAAATTGTTGAATTTGTGGATATTCATGCGGTGATTCAAGGGGTAGAGTTTCATGCCCTGTTTTTTTAACAAAGTCTAGTACTTTGATATTTTGATTATCATCAAGGTATGAAATCTTCTTTGAGGTAGAGGATTGCTAATCTAATATTTGGAAGGACCCCTCTTGTTCGTTTGCATGGAAATGGAGGGAACCAAGAAGGGAAGGTGGGGTTTAAATATCTTTGTTTAATTTCCACCAGGAAGAGAATGTGGGGTTCAGATATATTTGTTAACTATTTGTTAGAACACAAAGATAGAAATGAAAGCTATGTCAGAAAAGGTTTCCTGATATAGAAGTTGGAATTTGTCTTTTCTTTAGAAGAGCATTATGATTGTGTTAGGGCCTGTTATGCCTTCAACATTAGGGTACAGAAGGTAGTGGGATAAGAGTGTACACCCAAAACTTTCTTCAAAAATCAGTTCCAAAATGGGTCTTGAGCTGAGCAAAGAGGATTTGGTTGTACAGTGGTCTTAGCTGTTGCAGTGTTTTCTGCTTTCTTTTGTTGTTGTTGGTTGGATACTCGGCAATGGAGTCCCCACAATCGAAACCAGAGAGGCTTTACTTGTCAATTTGGTGGGTCATTTTGATTTATATATTTATGGCTATCCTTGATTACTTTGCGTCTACTTTCTTCTCTGTTTGTTGGGGATAATTTTGGTCCAATATCTTGGGTAGAGTACCATATGGTACTTGATGATCAGACAAAAGAGCCTGTATTTGATGTCGCCTGTTAAGTTCATAAACATATTTGATTGTGGCTAAGGCATTGCTGATAGTTCACTGACTAGCCAGTGTTTATAAAACAGTTATACGTTAGAAGAGGGAATTTTTTTTTTTTATAATAATAATTGACAGAAGAAAGAAAAAGGAACTTCAGCAGGTGTCTTGGACTTGAAGCCTTACTATTTGACAAAGAACAAAAAGAAAACTTGAGCAGCAAAAATTTGGAAGATAAAAAGACACTTTACTCATTTAAATACTTTTTGGAATACCCTCTTAATCAATTTACCTTTAAAGATTGCACATAGTTTACCATGCATTTTTCCCCCTTTTCCTTTAGTGGAGCCTTTTAAGTGTGCCACTAGAAATGAAAAGTGGCTTTACATCAAGATTACACTTGGCTGACTGATATTGACAGTTGCATTTTCATGAAATGGTAGTATTTGAATAATTTGATCAGAAATTTTGTATAATAATAATAATCTATGTAGGTGATTGATAACTTATGCCTAACAGAACCATGCAGGTAGCTCCTAATTTTATTGAACAGATTCTCGAGACTGAAAAACTTAGTTTGCTAGTCTTCGAAGAAATAATCTTCCTAAAAAAAGCCTTTATATTTTTAAAGAAATCAAAAGTAGATGCTAATTTTTTGAATTTTCTGCTGGAGTGTTGAATTTATTTATAGAAGAATAAGAGAGAATTGAAATGACATTAGAAGATATGGGGAGTGTATTAAAAGGCAAGAACAAAACAAAAGTCTCGAGCTTTGCAGTCATTTTATCCTCCTCACAATTCCCTTCCCCACCACTCCCTGTCGGATCATCTTCATTTTTCATCTCTTTTTTTCTTTAGACACTTCAACAACTCATTAATTTACACACACCCACATAGATATATTCAATTATATTTATGTCATTTCTATATTGTTGGCTAAAAATCACAAAAAATTATTTCCTTTTTTTTTTAAAAAAAAAAATACCCATTAGAAAAGGTTAAAAAAATCATCAACCATTACAATTTGGGGAAAGAAAATTAAAAAAATAATAATAATAAAAAGCACAAGTATGAATGAGTTTATGTAAGAAAGAAGACAGGCATGAAAAAGTCATGGCTAATAAAATTAGTAAAAAGGAAGCAAACCCAGGAATCCAGTAAAAGTAGTAAAACCAGGTAAAGTATAAAGTGCTTCTTTAGATCTATCTATTTTATATATATATACATATTCTGCTTTGGAGTTAGGCTTCACCAGAAAAAGAAGCAATTTTTTCCTGCTTACATATAAAAACTTTTTATGTTAAAAAAAAAATCAATTCTTTATTTTTTATTTTTAGTTATGGGTCAGAGAGGAGGGATGAATTAATAAATTATATAGTGAGTGCAGGAAACAAGGTTTTGAAATATGGGCTGCTTTATAATTCAAATATGGGTTTGTCACAGATGAATATGCCAGAAATATAGGTAATTATTATTTTTTTTTATGTGCACGCTCATATAATTTATAAGTTAAACTACTACCATCAATATGTATCTATGCTTTTATCTCTTCATTCTTATACTCCCTCATCAATTATTTCTTCATCAGAAAATTTTGATGTCATTATTATGATGAACATAATGAACTGATAAACTTTTATCAATAAAGCTTTTCCTTTATAAATTGTTCCTTTGCAATTAATTGCCAACCTTCTTAAAGGGCTTTTTTTTTTTTTTTGTTTTTGTTTTTTTCCAAATGATGATTATCAGAATGGTGTCTCTTCAAGGTGTTCATTTGAAATTTGACCATTTATGATCAGTTAAACTTGGCAGCCTTAAACCAATTATTGTGTTAATGATGGATCTAGTCAGTAGTCAGTAGTCACCCACATGGTTTTCTAAGAACCCTCATGATTTTAAAGAGATTGTATATGGGTTAATTTATTCATTTTATAGAATTAACCCTTCTGTAAGGCTAACAAATACTTTCTCTAAAATTTACCTTTTCCAATTTTCTTAAAGAAAATAAAATGGAAGAAAGATAAGGGCTATATATATGTATATATGATGTAAAAAGCAATGAGAAATGAGACCCAAAATGAAAATAATAATAAAGAAAATGTAGACAGGATTCAGTGGTGGGTCTACTAAAAAAAATTCCCATAATGTTGTGGATTTTATATTTGGAAGCATTCAAAGATTTTCCAAACATATTTTTAGAGGAACCATTCTTTCAAATCCCAGTTCTACTCAAGCTTAATTTCTCAAGAACAACACAGAGAGAGAGAGAGAGAGACAGAGAGAAAAATGGCAGTGAACCTGGTATCATGTGACAGTGCAGATGAAGAAGAGTATATTGACATGGAGGTAAGCTCATACTCCACCTTCTTCTCTTCTTCTCCTTCTGCACACCCTAGAGAATTTGAGTTTCAAATGTCTTCAAGCTCACTAGAGAAAGAACCAACCACTTCCCCAGCAGACGAGCTTTTCTATAAAGGAAAGCTTCTTCCACTTCATCTTCCTCCACGTTTACAGATGGTCGAGAAGCTCCTGCAAAACTCAACTTCTACTTACGGTGAACATGAGTTTTCTACCACTTCTACTCCTCCATTAACTACTGCTCTCACTACACCATTTCAATCCTGCAATATTTCACCTTCAGAATCTTGTCAAGTCAGTAGAGAGCTGAACCCAGAAGAGTATATATTTGAATATTATTCAACTGAATTTATGGGTGAAAATGAAATTCTTCCAAACAAGTCTAGAACCAGAAAGCTTAAACTCATTAAGCACTTATCACTTGCTTCTTCTAAACTCAAAGCAGCTTCCACAGCTTACTTCAAATCTTTCTTTCGAAAATCTGCTTCTTCAGACGACTCCAAAGTTGCAGATGAAGGATCTCTCTTCAAACCAATTAAGGATAATAATAAATATGTCAAGTTACCAATTAAGAAAGCTCCGTTTGGACAAATCTCAACTGCTGTCAACAAAGAAAAGATGATTGATGACAATGGTGGTTGCCATAGAAGATCATTCTCGGTCTCCATTAAACGACAATCGACGAAGACTAGTTCTACCACTTCGTCATCGTCATCTTCATCTTCAAATCATTCAAATGGGTTTTATCCTCTGCAATTTCTGAAGAGAAGCAGTAGTACAAATTCTGACATGGAAAATTCAATTCAAGGAGCAATTGCACATTGCAAACAGTCTCATCAGCAGCTTATGATATGTTCAAGAAAGAGCAGTGCAAGTCACGATGTTGGATTTTATTCACTATCTGCAGTTTGTGATGATCAAGAAAGGGTAGAGCTTTGCAGAGGCTAGTATGGCTGATTGATCTTTAATAATTAATTAAGATGTTCTTCATTTCTCTTTATTTCATGATTTTGATATTAATCAGTATGCTTCCACTTAACCCAAATATCTCTAATTCATAAACAAATCTTAATGATCTATCCAACAGTTCATTTTTTTTTTTTTTTTTATAAAAAAAAAAGAAAGCCTTGAAATAACCACTATGAAAAAGTGGTAAAATCAGAAAACAAGGTTCCATGATTTCAGTTGCGATTTAATTGATTTTGTCTCTTGTTTTTTCACCTTTGTTTTCAAATGATGAAACAAAAGAAAGAAACAATCTTAAATTACTTTCATATAAATTACATGTGAAGGCCTTCATTGCAGAACTCCCTGAAGCAATATCAGGAAAAAGATAAACACCAGCCAATCAATCATCAGATAACAGAACTAATCATGACTAAGATTGTCTCTTAAATCAACTAAGAGACACTTTGCCAACATTAATTAAATAGTACATCATGCCAAACTTATTTTTTACTCTTTGATCGAATTCGTCACACCTTCATTCCAACGAAGCATAAATTATCTAATCAAACCTTCAAAGATAATCTGAATATATATATAATATATTTTTATTATACTCTTATATTTATAACAATTTTCAAATTTTATTTTTAAAAAATTTATACAGAATTTTCCTCCTATTTCTTGTCTAAATATATATTATAAAAAAACTCAGCACCCAACTGGAGAAGTTATTTCGGGAATCTAAAACAAGAATAACAGTTGTTGAAAAGTTTGGTTCTAAGAAGAAGATGAAAATGTTAAGGTGGCTGCTTTTTCAATTTTCTAAACCAGAAATCATGCCAGGTAGCTGCTATTCACCAAGGCATTATTATAAAGGCTAACTGAGGATCCCAATTATCATCAATATAAAAATTAACAAAGGAAAGGTGGGTCATATACAACATCACTGTGTCTTATCACTACTACAATATAGTTTGTTGATGTTAAACAACTTAAGATGTAACACTTGATATATCTCCTTCTTATATTTTAGTTGCATATACAAAAGGGATATATATATCATAAGACTATTCACAAAAATATGAGAAAACACAACTCTATTTAATGGTTGGAGTCAAATTGGCACATGAACACACTTTTATATGATTTTCTAAAGCAACATCCACCATAAATAAATTAGGGTTTGTATTGCATAACATGTTTTTTGTTAATACATTCTTAAGCTTTTGGCTCCTGGTGATTGAAGCTCCATTCTTGTTTTCAAGCATCTTATTAGATTTACAGGAATTTTGGTTGGTGGATTTTCAAGAAGCCTCTTATTATTTGTTAATGTTTACATCTCAAGTAACTTTATTTAGTTGTTTGTATTTTAAATCATCTTTTAATCTTTAATGAACTTCACCTACCCCAAATTAACAACCATCATTATTTAACTAATCTTAATTAATCTTTTCCCTTCTATTTTTTATTATTTTTTTAATTTAAGATTCAACCCTTTTGAAACTTAATTTGTCATTTTTGTGAAAAATAGAAGGATGCGCAATAGGTGCAACTTCTGTCCCACACCGTATAACCGAAAGATATATTAGCGCTTTATATATTCCAGGTCGGGTATGACAAAGCACGACCTTACTTGAACAGGATCTGTTCTATAGGTTCGTACCTCTGTTTCCTGGAGTTCGAAGGAGACAGGATCTCAAGTCTGGCGGATGAATCGTGACCGTGTGATCAGAGCGTGATTAATGGCAGAAGCGGTTCTCGAACCGTTGATGCTGTAGAGGATCGTTCTCAGTTGGGTTTGATCCTGACTGGGGGTGGTCACCCGGTTATCTGACAGACCAATCAAAAATATTTTTCCGACTTCACTCTCAATTTATTAAAATTTATCATTTTCAATTTATTACGCACAAATTTGACTGTTTTGTCAGAGTATTTTTTTATTTAGTTGCACAAATTATCCCTCATGGGATATTTTTCCGACTTCACTCTCAATTTATTAAAATTTATCATTTTCAATTTATTACGCACAAATTTGACTGTTTTGTCAGAGTATTTTTTTATTTAGTTGCACAAATTATCCCTCATGGGATATTTTTCCGACTTCACTCTCAATTTATTAAAATTTATCATTTTCAATTTATTACGCACAAATTTGACTGTTTTGTCAGAGTATTTTTTTATTTAGTTGCACAAATTATCCCTCATGGGATATTAAAATTTTGATTTATTTTGCAACAATTTTTTTAATTTTAGTTTGATTAATTTTCTTCACTAACATCAATTTTTTCTTTGAGAGGAAAATGATGAAACCATGCAGGAGTAACATTAAAAAATGAAAGTCGGTAGACTTAAAAGTCTGTTTACTAAAGCATGAGCTACCGAGTAACAAACTCGTAGAATTCAAGATACCTAAAGAAAGAAAATCAGTAATTTGTAGAAGTTGCTTTAACTGGTAAGTTGGGGGAACTGAGATCTGTAACATTCTGGGAGTCTTCTTCCACATGCAAGCCATACAATAGAACTAAAGCCTCTTCTGTCTATGTCAGCCTGACATGGGCTTTGGGAAAATCTGCTCATCCCCACGAAAGACTACACAATTATGCCTGTGCATACACACTTATTAACCCTACAGAATTTTTTATTAACTAATTTATTTGTTATTAGTTTATAAACTAAAAAAAAAAACGAAACCTGACCACCCCCAAGAATCACAGCATCAGACCCAGAAGATTAAGAAGTTATAACACTATCAATGGTTTATGAAACATTCTATTGCAATATTAGATTGAGTGAATAAAAAAATTTGATTTGTCTGTTAAATAATCGGGTGACCACCTTAGAATGATTTTTTACAGCATCAATGGTTCACAAACTGAATCTTGTGGGTGAAAAGAGAAATTTGATTAGCCTGTCAAATTAAAATATAAATATATTTTAATTATAACTTTGCGAGATGAATATGTACAACTAAATAAGTTTAAACTTGCTAACAGAAAGAATAATATTTTTTTAATTAATCTGTCAGATAATCTGAGTTAACTCGAGAGAGTTAGGGTCAAACCCAATGATATCATCATTTTTTTTTTTTTTTTGTCAAAAACTAAAATTAGTTATCACTAAAAATTTACATACAAGGGTTAATAAAAGTGAAGAAAACAATTTAAAGAAACCAAAATAAAATAATCTTTACGTAAATTATTTGATTATTTAATCACAAATTTTTTGTGCGGGCTAATAAATTACTACAACAAACAAACACAATGCAGTGTTTCAAAATAAATTGTTTAATTATAAATTTATTTGTCGTCTAAAAAATTTTTGCTCACGAGTAAATTGCGTGAATAATAAAATTCACACAAAAATGTGTTCAGTGTCATTTCTACGCAAAATATTGTCTAATTACAAATTTATTTGCATCTAAAAAATTTTTGCTCACAAAGTAAATTCTGTAATAAAATTAACATAAATTGTTTAATAACAATTTTTGTTCACAACTGCGTGAATATAATAATTTTAACGAACTAATTTGATCCAAAAGGAGGAAAAAATGTGGGGTCTGTCAGACAACCGGGTGACCACCCCAGTCAGGAGTTCAAACCCAGCTGGGAACGATCCTCTGCAGCATCAACGGTTTACAACCGCTTCTGCAATTAATCACGCTCTGATCACACGGCTACGATTCATCCGCCAGACTTGAGATCCTGTCTCGTTCGAACTCGAGGAAACAGAGGTACGAACCTATAGAACAGATCCTGTTCAAGTAAGGTCGTGAATGGGGTATTCGTTCCTGAAAAATATAAAGCGTTATTATATTGTTTAATTATGCGATGTGGGATAAATGTTGGGCCTCGTCATCTATCCTCAGTTGCTTTCCATGCGGGACATATCTTTCTTCCTGCTTCCCTTTATTTATCTAGGTTTAAAGCTTCGTCTTCTCTAATCTTCTAAGCCTTTTACTCCAGTACATGCTTCTTCTTGTTCCTCGTAATCTGATTGGATTATTCAAGATAATTTCTTTAAACATACATATGATTGTGACATGATACAGTCACATTAGTATGTATATGTGGTTCCATTTCCTTCCCATGGTAATGCTCAATTGTGAAAATTAGGTAGCCATATGAGATCCATATATAGTTGCAAAATGTTGGCTGGAACCATCACATGTCCAATTTTCACAGAACGCATTACATATAAAATCCATGTTTCTATGACAATAATGATTAACCCTCATCAACTAGAATTACCATGAATTACTCTCACAAGTTATTGAAATGAATTTTTGAGTTGATAAAATAATTGATCATCAAATATCCTAAAAATTTGATTTGGTAAGAAAGAGTCTGATGGAGAAGAATTAGATTTCAGTCAGTCAGTCAGTCAGTCAAGTCAAGTCTTAAAATATGCTTACCTAGAGTTGTTGGATCTAGTGCAAGAATTCAGCTTTGATTTAGCACGGCTTCATTTTTCCCATCTTGATTTCTCAACACCTGAAAGGAAGCTGCTTGCAGATCTAGTCCTGGGACTAGTGCCGTTTCAAATTCAAATTACAACTTGAAATCTTACAATGTAAAGATAAAAGAGACGTCAACAATTTACAGTCTCAAAACCATCATAACTTTTAACATGATCTTTTTTTTTATTATTATTTTAAATAACTTTTAACATGATCTTAAAACTTCACAGCCCCAATTAATACACCTTATATCTTGCTGTCTGATCACTTCTCTGTCTCCGTCATGCCAGACAATAGATAATTTTACAGCAAACTTCCATCATTCACCAATCACCCAATACCCCAAACTTCTTCATAGAAAGAAGAAGCGTACTCTATTTTCCGACAGCTAAAATTTGCTACTCAGAAGAAACAGCAGTGAAATGTATGACGATAGGAACTAATCTTATTTAATTCCAGGGTATTGTGGGATTCATAGTGAAGAATAGTCTGTTTACCCGTTCGGCACAGCGGCATTTTTTATGTCCAAATTTCTAGGATCTCTATAAGAGTTGCAAAATTCAAACATCAAAGGGCATAAATTCGATCAGGTTCTGAATTTGAGAGATCAGAATGATACCATGAGTTGGATCCGCTCCTCCTCGCGCTCTTCTCCCTCTTCCTCATGGACCTAATCCTCTTGGACTTTACTACATAGTAAGTCATGGTTCCTAGAACCCCACCCATTATCACTCCCCCAACAACTGTGACCAAAGTTGCAGCCCACTCATATTGGCGGCCCACAACAATGTATGCAGAGGCCATGAATGCCACTGAAGTGCAGACAGATGCCAACCACATCAACTTGTTAATCACTTCCACTACCCTTTTCTCTGCTTTTGTCTCGCCTCTAACCAATGTAATTTGAACGACTACAACAGCCAAGGAGGTAAAGAGTGCAATAGCATTAAAGATGAAGAAGATCTTGAAAGAAGCACTGCCTACTACCACAGCCATCCCATCATTATCATCCCCACCAGGCACAGTAAATATGGCTGCAAAGGCTACTGTTGCAAATAGTACAGCAACCACGGTCACAGAATTGGTGGCGTTGTTGATCCCTTCACGGTGGAGTTTCCTCAGTTCCTTAGATATATTATGGACATTTTTGTTGGTTCTTCTCGTTTGTTCAAGCTGAGTATGAACATCTTTCTTAATTTGGGTCACAGTTTTCCTCAATTCATCCCTAGGTTGGTTCAGTTCATTAGCCCTGACAGCACCATAGCGAGTGAGGCACTCCTTTATTTCTGAAGATTCTTCAGATAGAGGAAGATCTTCAGCTATGTCAAGGGCTGTTTTATGGTCTCTGGTCAGGGCATTAACGTTGGTGTCGGGTAGCATTAACAATTCATTTACAATCTGCAAACAAAAAAGATTATGATTCATTGCAATTTTCAGGTAGAGATGCAAATATTTGAAAAAGAAAATAGAAAAAAGGTAGTTGAGGATTAAAAAGAAAATGATGAGATCTCCCAAAGTTCTAAGAGGTAAATAACAGAACAGTCAACTTATTACAGGCACCAAAGGTAAACATTACAAACTACCAAAGAACAGTGTATACAAGTGGAACAATAGCCATTCATTATAGAGAGCCCATTTGGTTTTATTTAATAAAGGATACTCAAAATGTTAGTGCTTATTTAAATAATAATCTACGCTCTGCTCTTTGAAACAAAAAGTACATGTTTAGATAGTATTTGCAAAAAAACAATTATTATATTCTGGTAAAAAGAACAAATACAAAGACATAGACAAGTAATTGTACATGTTAAAGAAATAGAGACTTCAAGCCAATGCAGAAGAGCACATGGTAGAGGTGCTTCACCAAACAAGCACGTTTGGCTGGGTACTTATACGCAACCCAATATACTCCTCTTAATAGGTTTCTGGAACCAAATGGATAACCAGTTATGAAGATATTCATCTCAAGTCTAAAAGTATTCAAGAAATTTTAAATTAAAACTCTTCAAGAAGCACTGCAACCGACACAAGGGTCAGACAGAAAAAGAAAAACTTCAGCCATCCAGGCTAGTAATTGATCACTGTATTTCTACAGAGGATATCAAAGATGTCATATAAAATCTGTCAACTGGGTAGAAGCGCACAAAACCAAAGACTAAAGTTCAGCATCACTTGCAGCTGCCTTTTAAAGAAAATAACTGAATAATTTTATATATACCTCTGCTCGCTTTTTCCGGGTGGCAACATGTAATGCTGTGTTGCCAAACTTGTCAGGAAGCATTACAATGGCAGCATCTGCCCCAAGAAGCAATTTCACCACTTCACAGCTCTGTCCTTTTACAGCCATGTGCAATGCTGTTTGCCCTTTCTTGTCAGTCCTCCGTGCCAATTGTGGATCTTTGCTAAGCAAAGCTTGTACAACTTCTACGTGCCCCTGTCTGGCAGCCAGATGCAATGCATTTTTCCCGTTGGACCTAGAAATCTCTAACAAGCTACCGTCCTTTGACAAGAGCTCATTCACAACTGCTGTATGTCCTCTGGTAGCTGCAGATATAAGAGGGGTTGTATTTGATGGGCCAAATGTTCGGCTTAGTGTGGGATCATGATCTAGTAACACTTGGACAATAGCTGCAAGGAAAGAACCATTATGAGAGTCATGGCTGGGTTTCCCATGGTCGTATAAAATCTTACAAGGACAAAGTAGCAACCATAATATCAACCAAAAGAAAAGACTGTCCTGGAGATTGAAAGATGAAATCCAGATAAAATCAACAAAAGAGGAACTAGAGCCTCACTAGAGGAGGTGTCACTTAATATTAGTAAGCAATTTTATACAATCAAGCAAAACAGCAACTTTCATGATTCGTCTTGTAGGAAAAAAATTAAGCCAACCCATCAAGCATATTATTTGAAGTTTTAAAACGACTAGCAATCTACGACAGAAGCATGAAAAGAACCTACCATCTTTCTGTTTCTAAGAATTTCACTTTCTGTTAAACTCTGTAGCCACTTACGGTAGAAAATATTTAAGCAGTATAGTTCATAAGATAAATACGAAAAAAAAAAGATAGAAACTTTGAAACTTTATGATAAAAAGTAGTGTGACAAATTTTCAGTAAGAAAAAGTAAGAAAATATTCAGGTCTTTACATATTCTGTGACATTCTGACAGCTGTTGATACTGTTCTTATCATAAAGTCATGTGGATGCAGTAAATAAAGTAAGATCTTACAAATAAAAAGAATGACTCCAGAAGGTCATAAAGAAAATAGATTAATGAAATTTGAGCATCGTGTTTCCCGTTGTTCTGTTTTTACATGATGGGATCCTCAACCTATCCTAATAATACTTGCAAACAGCATTACATAAATATAGTCAAATGAAACTTCTGCAACCCTGGGGTAATCATCAGGTGAAAATTAAAATAATGTATTCCAAATTCTTATCAGTGTTGATTTTCTAAGCAATTAAACGGAGCACAGACCATCTACCAGACTTCTATTAAACTATAATTTTAATTTACCACTATATTTTGTGGACTTTCAGGTAGAATTTCCAGACAAAATTTAAAAAAGAAAATCAACCAGTAAGCTTCTTTAGTTGAGGAAAAGAAGCCCACCACTGAAGATCATTACCTTGGTGCCCTCGAGTCGCTGCAATATGCAAGGGATCAAACCCAGACCTATTCTTCTTCGAAACGCTCTCCTTATTTGAATATTTCAGCAGCTCTTTCACAACATCAAGATGTCCTTTTTCAGCACCTGTAAACAGTGCTGTCTCCCCCAACTCATTCACCTCATTCACCACAGAGGCTCGAATCTCTGCAACCTCTGTATTTAAATCTTCACCACTCAAAGTGCCCACCATTTGCAAATCAATATCATCCAAAATCTGCTTCACTGCAGCCAGATCACCTCGCTGTGCAGCCAGGTGGAGATCAGTATCGTTGTGACGCCCTGTCACCTGCTTCACATATTTCTTCTTCCCAGCCTGATCCATCCGCTTGCCTGAATTGGACAAAACCAATGCTGGAGCTGCTGCTGTTGAGGATGGAGATGGAGTTGGTGAAGGCTCCATGAGAGGGTTTTGAATCTGTTGCGGATTCATCAATCCTTTCTCTAAATCCCTTTCAATTCCTACTACATCAACAAAAACAAATATGACACAACTACAAATTTTTTTCTAAGCTAAAATGAAATCGATCAATCACGTAATCCACAGTTAAATCTACAAGGAAACAATATGAACTAAAGTAAACCAAACCAGAAAAGGAAGAAAAAAAAAAAAAAAAGACTAGCTCCATTCACAGACATCATACCAATAATAGTCCATTTCTTCCCCTAAGTTCTAATTTACTAATCAGAGATAAGCACAACAAATTCTTCAGTTATAATAAGTCAATCAGCCATAAATCATGAATCATACAGATGATTCCAACCTAAATAACAAAGACAATAATTTTAGCTCCAATCAATCATTGAAATGATTATCAGCAAAATACATGGAAATATACTCCCAGCTTCAATTTAGAAAAATAAATAAATTTAAAAAACAGAAATCAAGAAACATGACAGACTCTCTCCTAAAATCACGCTACTAAAATATTCATCAAAGTCTACTCAAAAAATAATCGTCAAAATTAGAATAAACACAAACCGGAGGAATCTTTCTGATTAACATAATTAATTTCAACAGATTTCAAACTGAAAAAGGAAACTAAGCAGAAGCTAGAAACACAAAATCAATATCGAGATCAAACATAACCAGAAATCCTAACCTTCCACAGTAGCTAAGGCCATGATTGAAGAGAGCAGAGACCAAGTGGGAACCCTAAGTTATCATTCGAAGGGAGGGAAATCGCGAGCTTAAGAGCTTGAGGAAGTGAAGTGAGAGGAAGATAAGAAAAAATGAAGGCGATGATGAAAGGAAAGAGGAAGGAGGGAGGAGGAAGGTAAAGGAAAGTGCAGAGAAAGAGGAGGAGAAGAAGACTGAGAGGAGGAGAAGTGAAAAAGGCGCTTTGGCTTTTTGTGTAATAAAAAAATAAATAATTCTTGCCTAACTTTCCACGTCAGCAGAAATATTTTTCTCCTCATGTCCAATCAATAAAAAAAATATTAAAATAAATAAATTTAAGCGAAATTATATTTAAATATTATAATAAAAATTATATTAATCAATGTGATAATTAAGTTTTTTATGACGTAGTTATGCGTAAAAAAAAATATTTATTTTAATTGATAATTAAAACAATGATTTTAACTTAAAAAATAAAACTATTAATTAAAGTCAATAACAAATTATCAAATTGAAAAACGAGTGACAAAAGAATTTTGGTCGCTCATTTTAATTTTAATTTTAATTTTTTGATTTCATTAAATAAAAAATTATAAATTATGTAAACGGCACATAACATATCTATTAAATGGTACGTAATAAAATTTATTAATGTTTTATATAAGAAAATTTAGTCATGTAAAATTTAATATTAAATAACTTTTCTACCCCCATCAACATACATAATATATTTAATTTATTTTATCATTTTCTCTGTGCCGTTTCTTCTTATTATTTAATTTTTAATATAAAATAATTATGAATCTTTATACAGCTGTAAAGATTTTAGCAAGAAATAATTACAAATTTTTTTTTTTTTTTTTTTTGTGTTTCTAATTCTGTCCGTATCTTACTTTATATAAACCTTAAACTATTATAATAACTAAAGATTATGTTAATGAACTTTAACTGTGGTAATTAATTTATTTTATTAAAAAAATTGCAACAAAACTAATTTCAATTTACAATCCTAAAGACGAACACAAAACTCTCTAAGGCTTCTATCTAAACTAAATAAGCCAGAAATGACGTCTTGTTTATGTTAAAAAAAAATTATCTATCATATATAAAAAAAATATTAGAATTTTTAAATTTTAAATAATTTTAAAACACAAATAGTCAATATATATATATATATATATACATGAATCAGTTTAAATATTTTAAAATAAAACAGCAACCAAATTAATATTTTTGGCTAGAATAAAACTAACATCATAATAAACGCGCAGCACCAAGTTAAACTTATTAATTGTGAGAAAAATTAAATTGAACTCCTAATATAATCCATCAAATTTATAATTTCTGATCAATCTTAAGTGCCTGCATCTGCGATTATTTTGTTGCCAAGTTGTCAAAGTCGCTTGACTATCAAGAGCACATGGCGACAAAAATAAATAAAAAAATATTGAAGTAGTTTTCACCTTTTTTTAACTATGAATTTGACCACCAGCAATCTATAATAAAGTTTTAATATTGGAATTTCGTTAGCAGATTATATATTGTTTTAATTTTTTTTTTCAGTTTAAAATGTTGATAAGCTTAGACTATGCTTTCACTACTTCAAGTGAGAAAAAGCCCGCCGCCTTAGCATTTTATGCTAACAATTGAGATTTAAATAATCAAATGACGGCTCCCATCTGATAAACAATTCTGGGCGGCCCAACATAGATAAACAGCTTATTATTATTGAGTAGCGAAGGAGAGGGTCCAGGCCGAACAGAGGAATAGAGTTCAACTTACTTTCCCAAACTCCTCGTTTGTTTCAACTTTACTAAAAAGGATTTTCTCTTCAGAAGAATCAAGTATCAATTTACAGGAACTAGAATAGATTTCACCTAGCTTAATCAGCAAGTTACAAAATCCATCATAAATTGCATATTTAACCCGAATACAGAAGTGAACTAACTAGCTCACATCAACGATACGATCGGTTGCTCACAAACATTTTTACTTTGGTTTAGCGGGTAATTCCCAGCGGAAATCACCCTCCAAAAATTGGCGTATGCCGCTTAATGCGGTGAGCACACGGTATTCTTTAGTAAAAGGCGAAAGAATAGTTCGCTTTGTACTCGCCGCACGGCTCCGTAATTAAACCCCTGCGCGGAGCCCATTTATCTAGTGTATAGGATTTCTTATTCTCTATTAGTTACACGATGTGGGACACCAATAAACTTATTTAAACCGCTCATTCCATACACGCTTCTCCCGAATACTTGGCGCCCCATCTCCATAGCTTCTCAGGCTTGCTGTCCTTCAGTTGATGAACTAAAAGTTATCATCTCCTTGAAGCAATTTCCTTGTTGAGTTTCTAAGTTCCTTTGTCGGCAATTAGTGATTTTACTTGTGAGTAAATTTTTTAGATGCAAAGAAATTTGTGATTAAATAATTTATTTGTGATTCAAGCACAAATTTTGTTTGTCTGAAGTTAGTCGAATAATTTATTAGCCGTATGAAAAATTTGTGATTAAATACTTGGATAATTAAATTACTTTATTTTGATTTCTTTAACTGTTTCATTTATAAATCAACTTATTTTTCTTCACTTTTGTAAGTATATTTTTACATGATCACTAATTTTGTTTTTGACATAAAGATAATGGTATCATTGGGTTTGAGGGTTATCTAACAGATTAATTTAAAAAAAAAAATTCTTGTTTTCTGTTTTGTCAAATTTAATTCTTTTTCTATATGATATTACCTCAAAAAGATCTGTTTTATATGCTTTCTAGCCTTTATGTTCTTGAATTCTCAGGCCCTATGATCACAAATCCAGTGGATGAATCTTGTGATCATCTCATTAGAAATGTAGTGTCTGTAAAACTGAAGGATTAAATTATCTTTTAATTATTCCTTGTGGGATACATATATAAATCAAAATAAGTTTGAACTTGCTAATGAACACAGAGCAAAATAAAATTTTTGATTAATTTGTTGGATAACTGGGATCACACTCAAATTATCACTTTCCAGTCAAAAACAAAAATATACTTGCAAGGGGTAATGAAAGTGAAGAAAATAAATGGAACTAAAACAAGTTAAATCGGGATATAGAAAGCGCAAGCACAGCTTATAACCACAAAGTGTGGGCTGCTCTTTTTGAACAAAAAATAAAAAATGATAAATAAATTGCAAAACCAATACTTAATTATGCATTGGCTAACACTACCGTAAGCTTCGTAACTCCGAGAAATCTCGCTTCTAATGACATTTTTACTCTTAGTTAGTGGGTTATTTCCTAAGGAAATCACCCTCCAAAAATTGGCGTATGCCGCTTAAAGCGGTGAGTACACGGTATTCTTTAGTAAAAGGCGAAAGAATAGTTCGCTCTGTACTCGCCGCACGGCTCCGTACTTGTTAGATCACAAGGAGCTCAATTATGTAGAGTTTAGGATTTCCTATTTGTTCTTATTTACATGATGTGGGACTTTATTAAACTTATGTACACCTCGTCTTGTTTATTCTCCGGTATAGAATTTGAACCGCTCATTCGATACGCGTTTCTCCCGAATACTTGGCGCTTATCTCCATAGGTGCTCAAGCGTGCTGTTCGTCAGTTCAGGAACTGAAAAATGCTTCTCTCTTGAAGCAATTTCCTTGTTGATTTTCGGAGTGAGTTCGTCGGCAACTATTTTACTCAATGTTCGCGACCTTTCCAGGGAAGACATTTACCCAAAAAGGAAAGATTATCAAATTTCGCTTGTGATTTTTGGATGTCGCTTCATAACGCCTTTGCGGACTGGTAAGCTCACGAACTGTTCGATTGATTAATTGAATGGTTTCTTGTTTTCTTGGAGGCAATCATGACTGATGAAAGTTGAGTGGTCATATACTGTTTTGTCCATTTAATTTACCACATTCTACCTAGATCGTAACAAATGCAATAGCACATTCAAATCCGAAAAATGTGATCGCTCAGATGCTTGGTGCATTTATCAGTTTCGATATGAATGTACATTTTATGCAGAGAGCAGGTTTTGCTAAGATTTCATTAAAGAAATTAAGAAACCATTTGGAGCTTCTCTTTTCAACTATTCATCTTTGCCTTCAATGTGGTGCAGGTACCAGTACCGGCATACAAGGAAGATAAATTTTGGTCGGCAATTGTTTGTGTTCTCAAGTCAAATTTGCAAGAAAGGAGGCGATTCATGCTTTTTTTTATCTATAAACAATCATAGGTGCATATTCCATATATTTCCATATGAACAATCTTAGGTTAGACCCACATTTGTAGCAAGGGAAATTACATTAATTGATTGATGGAAATGCAGAAATATATAAACCTGTTTCTACTACAGTTATCGGTACCTTTTTAAACAATTACAATAACAAGGGAAACTTGGATGAAATTTCTAAATAATTAAAGCCAAACCACAAGATACCAAAAGAGTAGACAAACTTGCAGGAGAGCCTGGCTTTTTAGCAAAGTTTAATGTAGCTTAAATGCTCATCGTTGATCCAACTATACTTCTCCATGAAAGGGTTGGTACTTGGTTTTGTAGGGTAATGTTGTATGCAGCCTTTCCACACATTGGCATCATCCAGGTCCCTGAGAACCTCCCAGACACAGTTGTTGCACTTGAAACCTGCTCCCAAGCTGATCATTAAAATTTTGTCACCCTTCTTAAGCCTCTTTTTAGCCTGCATGTAACCTAAGACATACCATAGGCCACCAGCTGAGGTGTTACCAAATCGATGAAGTGCCATTCTGGCTGGTTCGAGATCATAGTCACCGAGCCCTAGACTCTTACCAACTCCATCAATTACTGCCTTGCCGCCTGGATGAATGCAGAAGTGCTCTATACCAGCTTTAAGATTTAGACTCGCTCCTGCAGTATTCTCAATGGATAGGCTTTTGATTTTCTTTCTCAACCGAGAAACTATCACGTAGCGAAGCAGTTCCTTGAATGGTAACATTTTAGGAACAAGAACTCTGAAGTTCATGCTCAATGCTTTAGCAGCAGCCTTTTTGAGGCTTTTAGTGAGCAAAAAACCTCGGTAATCTCTGTCATCTTCAACCTGCATGCAGCAGTTGTAAGCGTCATCGTCTGCAGCAAGATGGGTGCGGACTGAGCAGCTCAACTTCAAGATAGCTTGACGCTCTAGAGCTCTGTTGTTCGTCAGCAGCATTGAACAGCCACCTGATCGGAACAGGCAGTTGGATAGTATCATGGACTTTTCCTTGCCACAGTACCAATGTGGACCAATGGATTCTGTACTCACAACAATGGCAAATGCATTGTTGTATAACCTGAACAAATGCCGAACAAGGTCAACTGCAATAAGGCTTGCACTACAGCCCATTCCAGAGAGATTGAAAACCTTGATGTTTTCTCTCATCTTGTATCTGTTAATTACACGAGCTGTAAGAGAGGGTGCTGGAGATAATAATGAGACATTGACAACAAGTATGTCAATTTCTGAGGGTAAGACTCCTGAACTAGCAAAGAGCTTATCTAGAGTCTGAAAAATGATATCATCCAACTCCCAAAGAGCATCAGCGGTAGTAGGACACTCCTCTCTGCCTTCAATGACATTTCTTGGGCCGTAAGTTTCTTCACCAATGCCCGCACTAACAATGGTTTGTAAGAGAAATCTATACTCTTCCAGACCAAGGTTTTTGTTTCGCTGGACGATCTTTCCACATGATTCAGTGTCGAGCTTTCTGTCGTCGGTCGAAGTGTAGCACTCATAATTCAGCATATAGCAGCATTGGTTTCTCTTATGGAAAATATACTTGCAGAAAGTGATCATGGTGTAGACAAGAAGTAAGAAATAAATTGCCGTGAAAAGCTCCATGGAGGGAAACCAACAAATAGGTAAGCAAGTTTTCAAGAGAGTCTATTTGAGTATATCGCAATTCTATGGTGACTGATATTTCGTGTCATATGAAAGTTTTTGTGTTCATTTTATAGAACCCAACTCAAAGAAACTATTCTTTTTATTATTTCTTTTTTAACATAAAAACAAATAAATTTATCCGTGTCATCTTTGATAGCCGCTAAACACCATCCATAAACAGCATCTTTCTTCCTTTAATTTATATGGAGTAAAGAGGATTTCCTTGCAGCCTGTTTGGTGTACATTAATTTGGAGCGTTTTGAAGCATGAGGTTCAAACGTTATGCTCTTGGGACAGAAGATTGGTGAAAATAAATAATTATACAGTATCAACTTGGGTATTGTTTAAAAGCATTTACAGTTCAGAGAATTGCACAGTCCTAATCCTGTTGAGTAGTTGAATTGGTTTCACTCATTGTCCTAGCTCAGTCCTACATATGCAGACTTTTCTTCTTGAGAGTACTTTTCTCTTGTTGGCTAGTTGAAATGGTTTCACGCGTTGTCCTAGCTTGGTCCCACATGTGTAGACTTTTCTTCTTGCATGAATTTAGTGTTATTGTCAGTAATGACACCATGTGCTTCAGCATCTTATGCAAATACAAATAAGGTACCAATTCAGACCAATGCTTTTAATTACATCTACCAATTCAGAAACACCAAATTTATTGTTTTTTCATATCGAGTTCATTAGAAGTATGTAGTATTATTGGTAAGTTCTAGTATTAGATGTTGTGATATTATTAGTTGTATTATATTTGGTGTGTAAATTTCATTTAATTATCAAAATATGTAAATTTTTACTAAAAATAAATTTCAAAAAATTAGGTTATATATACTAACATAAACGTTGAGAATTTCTTATTAAATACAACGGATATGTGTTGATATGTCTTTTTTGCTATAACTTAATAAAAAACTTATTTTTTATCATTTACGTAATATTTCTCTTTATAGTTCAGTAAAAAAAAATTTACTTATAGTTTACATAGTATCTCTCTAATAAATATTGAAGTAGCTTATAATATTTATGAAATGATTCTTTATCATATCATTAATAAAATCGAGATACTACCTTCATGCTACTTTGCACTAAGCAAGTAGATATAATTTTTCATAAATTTTAGAGATAGACAAGATTTAAACTTTGATTTCCATTGAGAGAGAGAGAGAGCTACAAATACGTTTTCTTCTTAAGTTATCCTCATAAATCAATTGTTAGTATTATGGAATCAACAGATAAGGTGCATTATATATTTTTCTTTCATTATCATTTCTATCAAGACTTATATTTGAATATATGAATTTAAAAAAAAAATTGTGGAATTTACTTTTAGTTAAATATATATTCAATAAGTATACGTTTTTTTATCGATTGATTCAATCAATAGAATTTATAAATGTTAAGCAAGTACGTTTGAAATTGTATGCAATTTCACAACTTTTAAAAATTAAACTTCTTACAGACTTGGAAGAAGTTTAAATGGCATTTAGACTTCAGTTTCATTAAGTTCCCTTACATGAATATATATGGTAATCCAAAATATATTCTAAAAGATTGTATTTTGTAATTCATTTGTTATGGAAGTGCATCAATATGGTAATACTAATTAATTTGATAAGCAATACAGGAAAAGATTCCAATTTCCTTTTATTGTCTTCAGCCACAACTGGAATTGTTTCCTGAAGTTTATGTTTTTTTCTTTTGCTTTATATGAATTGTGTCTGCTTTAAAAAGTATACATAGAAAGATCAGATGAGATAATCAAAACTGGTTTCAGACTTTGTCTTTTCTCTGCAGCTAATTGGTTGTCACGGTGCCAAGGGATAAGAACACTAATAAAGAAGATTAATAGACACCAATCTAAATTGACTGTAGATAGATGTGTTGCTCTGCCAGCAGTCACAATAAAGAACACTAATACAGACATAAAGGATCTATTTTAGAGTTACTCTCAGGTTTGAGAAAAATAGAATTAAAAGTTTTAAGAGAAAAAAAATTGTAATTCTCATAATTTTTTATAGATTAGATCCATTTCATGAAAGTAAATCACTTTAGCATAACAATATAATATTTTGTGTGTTTTTAAGGCGTAAATTGTTTGTCTTTCTTACTTCTGCTTGTTTAATTTTTATATCACAAAACATTTTTCATGGGTGGTAAAATCGAAAATGCGAGTCTTAGCATGTGTTACTTGTATATAAGATATACAGAGTTAGATCTCTATTAGAGATATAAGCTTCAATGTGGGGTTTATATGCAAGAGGGATAAATGTTGGTTCATGGAATCGATAATTCTTTGACTGCAATGGTTGGTATTTTCTCACTCCTTAAGAAATTATGAGTTTGAAATAAAGTGGTATGTTTCTATGTGTATAGATTTTTAGAAATAAAGTAGAAATGTATAGATTTTTAGTAAAGATTAATTTTTTTTATTATTTATCTCAAAAAGCTTTTAGAAAGGTACTTATAGCTTATTTATGAAAGAAATACATAATCGGGCCAAAGAGACCTTGATTAAACCAGTTGGTTTTCCAGGCAGAAGCTATTAAACTCCACAACTTATTATCTGTGTTGCACATGTTTGATTCTGATGTTGTGTAAATCAGTTGACAAGAGATTTGAGTTTCAGTACTTTGCAGTCTGCATATTACAGAACAAGAAGGGTGTGAGGAGATTCTGTAATAATGAAAGAGTCGGGAAAAAAATAAGAACAACATATTATTTTTCTATTCCAAGTCTTACATGGTCAGATCTCTCTCTCTCTCTCTCTATATATATATATATATATGTGTGTGTGTGTGTGTATCTCTCTCTCTCTGTATGTATGTATTTATACCTGCTTTATTCAATGCAGGAATTATTATGATTCATGCTGACCACTCATGGTTTGGCTTGAATTTTACAGCTGTAAATCTAGGTTCTTACTTGTTCTTGAGCTTTAAGTAAGGGAAATTAGGTGGAACACCTAATTTAGTAGATATTATGTGAACTCAAATCGTAATAAATGAGATGGACAAGTCACAATCTATTATAGATTATAATTGAATAGTAATAATTAATAAGGAATTGGGCGATTTAATTATAGAATTCACTATATTTTATTAAATAAAACTATATTTAATAAAATATTTATACTTCTCAAAATTTTAACTTCAATGCATTATGTATACAGTTGTCTTGAAAAGTAAATTACATTCATCAAATGTTATAGGTTCAAGATTACACAATTTACCTTTAAAATAAATATATATATTTTTTTTAAATATCTAGTATAATTTCTTTAAAATGTTTTAAACCATTTATTACTTACATAGTATATATAGTAGTAGACTTATTCACCATCTCTTCTTTATGCCACTACAAAATATAAAGCTACATCGGGAGTGTTGATTTATGCATATACTTATAGAAAATGAGGTTACCCACCTAATTTATTACACATTATATTAAAATGATGTTAAAATTGTACAATTCATAATTCACTATCCTTTTCTGTGCACGTTAGCCGAATAAAAAACTTTAGCCGCGAAGGAGAACCAGTAGAGCTGCCGCATTTAATGGCCCCTTGACCGATAAGTTCGGTGTTTTTGATGATTTTCCAATTAATTGAGGTCTCTTAATGTATTTTTTCGTAAGAAAACGTATAAAATTAATCAAAACTTGGTAAAATCAACCTGACTGAAGCAGACCGCTGCCGTGAGGGATGAAACCGGTGTCGGAGCACGGCGACGCCGCGATATTGTTTGCTCCAATTGCAAAATATAAAATTACATCACAAGTGTGACTTATGCATAGGTTTAATTCGTAGACATTAGGCTATCCACCAAATTCACTATATATTATGTTAAAAAATGATGTTAAAATTGTACAAAATTCATAATTTAATATAATTCAATAATAAAGTTTCTTATTATATAGTATAATTTCTTTAAGATATTTTCATTTATTACTTATGTAATACATAGCAGAAGACATGTTCACCAATTTTTGTTTGCTCCAACTGTAAAATATAAAATTACATCACAACTGGTGACTCATGCATGGATTTAATTGATAGAAATTAGGTTATCTACCTAATTTACTATATATTATGCTATTACAATTGTACAAATCATAATTTAATGACAAAATCACATAGATGAATCACACTTTACATTAAATTATAAGTGAACCACAATAACTGATAAAGATGTGACAATTCAATTATGTAATCCACTATATCTTAATTAAAATTATATTTAAATAATTTACTTACATTTCTTAAGAATATAACTTTCATGACAACGTACATAATTGTCTTTAAAAATAAATTATAGTTATTAAGAAATATTTTTATATTTACACAGTTTACTATTTGAAGTAAATACTTTTTTATTATATGGTATAATTTTTTTAAAATATTTATCATTTATATTTTTTTACATGATTTCAATAATCCAATTAAATTTTAGTTCGTTGTAATTATTACAATAAAATATTATAATATTTATAAAATATTTTTTTTACCTAAAATGTGATAGGTATGCTGAAAATTTAACCAAATTCAATTACTACAATTTTATCAACATATTAATTAATAAAATTATTGATTTCACTAAATTTAAATATTATACGATGATTATCACTAACTTATAATAGATTTATAAAAATAAATAATTTTATATTTTTAAAAATATTTAAATAAAATATAATATAATATTTTTAATCACTAAACTATTGTATTTTCAATCATTTATATAATATGTATAGCGGTAAACCTATCTATCAACTTTATGAACTTAGGTTAAATTTGATTTTGTGAACTACGCCTGAATTTTCTTAACATTGATTCACCAAATCCACATTTTAATGCTTTTTAAAAAATTAAGAAATTATTAATATGTTTATTAAATAAACTCTTAAAATTTACTTAAAATCTTATTTCATCACTTTGTTTAAGACATTTGCTTGTTTAAAACAAATAAGAATAAAATTAACCCTCTTAAATTTTAACTTTTTAAATAATAAGTTAATACTTTATATTTAATTTTTATTTTTAAAACTTTATATGGATTAATTATTTATATAAATAATATTTTT